TTTTTAAAAATTTGTTGATTTCTTCAAAATGTTTTCCAGGCAAAATTTGTGAAGATTATAATGAATATAATTCAAGGTATGGCAAAAGTCTTCCTTTTTTGAGATGGTGTGCTTACATGGAAAGACCTTTATCCAGTGTATTCTAGATCCCAATTTAATATACTGATACATTTTTGGAACACTTCCGGCTCCAACTAAAATTATTTTTACATTGTTTAAAATTGGAACTTAATTTTCTGGAATCAATAATAATATTAACACACTGATTAGATATGTTGTTGGTTCAAGCTCCGAGCTTGGTGATTTGGTTGCAAACGTTTCGCCCCATTCAAGGAGACATCTTCAGTGCATGTTAGATTGTGCTTGTCTGGGGGAGCACTGGCCTTTAAATACCTTTCTGAGTACTAGTCTGATTTCAGGTTGTGTGATTGGCTGGCTGCAGTTGCTGAGTCATAGTCCTTGGTTTTAAGTATTGCCTCTGTGTTGTAAATTAGTGCTGGTGTTGTTGTACCGTGTTTCTCACATAATAAGGCCGGGGCTTTTTTTTTTTTGACCCCCGAAAAACCGGCTAGGCCGTCTTTTTGGGGGGGACTTAATTCCCCCCCCCCCGTTGCATCCTCGGATGGGCGGGCGACGACAGCTTGGATGTTCGGGAGACCTTCCATCACCGTTGCTTTTCCTTCTCCCTTGCTGCCGCGGCGTTACAGTAATGCCGCAGCGTTTGGCACAGCTACGTGCGGCCAGTCAGGGCTCCTCCCTGCAACCGGAGCCCTGAGGAGACACTTGGCTTCAGGCGCTCCTGTTGCCGCCTTCCCTTTGCCTTCGAAGGTAAAGCAAATTATTTTAAAAACCTCCGCTCATCCCATCAGGGCCGCGCTGGAGCCGTGCGAGCTGGGCAGAGCCGGGAAAGCGAGCCGCGGGTGTTTCCTGGTTCTGCCCAGCCTGCATGGCTCTGCCGCGGCCCTGGCAGGATGAGCGGAGGTTTTTAAAATAATTCACTTTACCTTCGAAGGCAAAGGGAAGGCGGCGACAGGAGCACCTGAAGCCAAGTATACCAACAACAAAAGGCAAATCCTCAAGGTGGGCTGGAGGGAGGTGGCTACGTGCCCCCTGGGCTGCTTCAATGCAAGGTCCTGACTTGCAGCATCCTGCCGTTGCCGCCACGTCCTTTTCGCCGCTGCCTCCCTCTCCGACTGCGAAACTCGTGTGCTTCGCCAAACGCTCCGAGCGAGGCGAGCTCTTTCATACATAGAGAGAGAGGGGGGGGGAAAGAGGCCACCCGCTTTTTATCACGCCGCCGCACCACCGGCTCTAGGCCAAACCCCGGGCCTCTCTCGGAAAGCAAATACCGCGCATGAGAGGAAAAGACGCGCAAACCCCCGGCGCAGGCGCCCCTCTTATTGACATAGGAAGGGAGGGGGTGGGTGAGGCAACCCTGCTGCCGCGGACCTCCTTTGAGCCCGCCCCGCTGTGACCTCCAACCAATCCACAACTTCCAAAGCTTTGGCGCCTCCCAATGGAGATGTTTGCTGGGAAATGGCTTCGACTCCTCCACTCGTCCATGCATTTTATTGCCTGCCCCTTTGCCCAGAGCCGGAGGGTTCTGGCCACACCCCATCATGCCTTTCAGCTTCAGGAGCCCGTGCGCTCTTTTTTTTGCCCCCCCGAGAGTTATGATCCCGCCTTTCCAGAGAGGGGGAGGGGGCGGTGCCCTCTCAACCCAGCGCGTCCAGCATCCCATCCGTCTCTTCCCCCTACCTCCCGCGCGCACTCCTCACGTGCTGAGCACTTCCTCTTGCAAATTACGCCTCGCAACTCTTCTCTCCCTTTCCTCTCGCTCCAAAAAGATTGCCATCGTATCCCACCGATTCGGGCTTCCAGCCACGTTGTGATCCACTAGTGAGGTTGCCATCTCGGATGGAAGCATTGCAGTCTCCCTCTCTTGCTCGCTCTGAACTTCGCGCAGACCAAAATAAAAAGATCACCCGCCGTCATGTTTGGAGCTGCCACTTCCGCGTTTGGAGCTCCAAATGGCGGCGGCACTCCAAACACGGAAGCGGCAGCTCCAAACGTGGTGGCGGAATGGGCAGAAGGGAAAGCAACAGCGGCGGGTGCCAAAGGTGTCTGCAGCAAAGTTGTTTGGTGGGAGTAGGGAGCTCTCCGCGCTTCGCCATGATCGCCCATTAGGAGCGGCTGGTGGCGAGGAATTCCTGCCCGCCGGGCGCTCCTAACGGCAAGTCTCCCCACCCTTCCCCCTTATTTTGCATATTTTAAAATAGGCCTAAATTTGGGGGGAGGGGCTTAATTTGATTTTATGCCCAAAAAACATGCTGGGCCTTCCTATTGGTGGAGGCCGTATTGTTGGAGAAACACGGTATGGATGTCTTATAATGATGTCATGGTCAGGTTGATTTGATCGGCTGTGTGAGATGTGGTCTGATTTCTTGAGATCTGCCAAGTTATAATTTTGTTTACAGTGTGGCTATTCATTGGTCTTTAAATGCTGCCTTCGAGATCATGACTGATGTTGTTCTTTCATTCTAAGTGGTTGGTAGATTGGGTCGATGTCAATGTGTCTGTTTACTGATTTATTGGTGGAAAACCAGGCTTCCAGGAGTTCTCTTTCTCTCTTTGACTTCACCTGTGTTACAACTGTGGGCCAAGTTAGATTGAATTTGTGTCTGAGGGCAAGCTGTTCCATTGGTTGATTTTTCTCACTGTCAGAAAGTTTCTCCTTATTTCCAGGTTAAATCTCTCCTTGTTCACTTTCCATCCATTATTCCTTGTCTGGCTTACGGGTGCTTTAAAAAATAGCTCGACCCCTTCCTCCCTGTGGCAGCCCCTCAAATATTGGAAGACCGCTATCATGTCTCCCCTGGGTGGTTAGGCACAGTTGGAGGAGATCATCATCTATTGTGGGTAGTCTTCTTGGTGGCTTTGTGTTGTCCAGTAGTTATTTGATTAGGTCAACAGTTTGAAGTCTACAGATGTGAATAATGTGGTGGCATCGAATGATATAATTGTTTCATCTTCATCGATACGTAGGTGTTTGAACCTGTCCAGGAATTGTGTTTCGTAGTTATGGAGTATTGAGAGTCATTGATTAGGCATTTCTACATTTTTTTGGCAAGGTTGTAGGTGGATATGCCGGGAGTGAGACAATTGGCTGGATTGGGGTGTTTTCTTTGTGTACTTTCAAGAGTCTGTAGAACTGTGCTATGTTGAGCCAAACAACAATACCGCCACTAATTTACATCACACAGACAGTATTTAAAACCGAGGACTATGAATCAGCAACTACAGCCATCACACAGCCCAAAATCAGACTAGAACTCAGAAAGGTTTATAAAGGCCAGTGCTCCCCAGACAAGCACAATCCCAAGTGCACTGAAGATGTCTCCTCGAATGGGGATGAAACATTTGTAACCAAATTGCCAAGCTCTGAGCTCAAACCCACAACATAACTACCAACTCGAGCTCCTAATATTCAAATAAATTTCTGATTAGATTTAAAGACTGATTAGATTTTCAGGGGATTGGTGAAAATAGAAAATGAGAAATCAGAAGTAACCATGTTTGCATCCTCTATGGTGAACATCAGGAATCTGTTTCTATAAATGGAAATCTGGATATTTATTTTATTTATGTTCCTTTGTTAGCTAAATTTATTTGCTCCATTTACTCTGGGCACCTTACTTCAATAAAAACAGGGAAAAAAGATGAAAAATGTAAATTTAACATTAATAAAACAATGAAACAATAAAAACAACAATAACAATAGACAATTAAAGTCATATGAATTAAAAGATGGGTGGGGGAGCAGGAAGTGCAGAGGGGAGACAGAATATATCGAGATCCAATCTATTATTTTCAAATAGTTGTTTATTCAAAAACAGTGTAAACTCAAGTAAATCACATAGTCATATAAATTATATTTTCTAAACAAATTATGCAATACAATGTAATACAATATGTCCACATTTGTTTGTTTTAAATCTGTCTTGCCCTCTTTTGCAGCAATGAGGAATTTCATGAAGAAGTTTGTCCGGTTTATGACAATCTTAATCACTACCATCAGGAGATGCTAAGTAAGTTATAGATAAAGTTGTCCATTCATTGAATTTAGGTTCATATGACTAACTTGAACTAATTGTTGTAGGCATTTCCCCTTTTTCTTTCCTTCTTTTCTGGAAGACAATGTTGCAGTTTATAGGAAGAATATAGTAGTTCATGCTTATTTATTTAATTTGTATCCTGCCTTTATTATTTTTACAAATAACTCGAGGTGGAGAACATATCCAACATAACTTCCTTCTCCTATTTTCTCCACAACAATAGCTCTGTGAGGTGAGCTGGGCTGAGAGACAGAGTGACCGGCCCAAAATTATCTAACTCAGGGCTCACCAACCTTTCTGACCTCAGGGACCACTAAATTCATAATTTTAAATCCCACAGACCACTAATGTGATTTGCCTAATGACCGACTGGATGGGCATGGCTAGGTGGTCAAGTGACTGGGTGGGCATGGCCAACTCGATGTCACTCACATCAAGGGGCACTCCATCTATCTATCTATCTATCTATCTATCTATCTATCTATCTATCTATC